AGTTATAATTTAACTTTGGTGAAATAGTAATGATTTTTGTCAGTTTTAGTAGTTTCTATTTTAACGAGTCTAGAAAGGAGAAAAGTGTATTCAGATGTATCATGACTTTATTATTAAACATTTTACATCAAGTGAATATTGCATAGTGATGGGATCTTGATTTGGTTGGTAGAAAACAGATAAAATAAGAAATGTAAGATCTCTTCTTAAGTAAGACTGGCCAGATTACTATTATTTATTTCACCATAATGGCAACATCTGCCAGTGAAATTAAAATAAAATTTCCTCCCTAAGGAGATTCTGCCTGCTCCAGCTAAAGCTGTGTATATACAGAGAATGCCAGGAAATTCTGACATATTGTTGGAGCAAACACTTCAAAAATATCTTGTGTTTTTTTCTGTTTTAGCAACTTCACTGTGTGGTGGTTGGAAGTGAAAATGCCAAGCGATATTTTGAAGCAGTTCAAGGATCAAAAGAACATCGAGGAGAGCTTTTTGGGGTTTATAATCTCTTCAAACTGAGGTCCCAAGGGTCTTGTCTTACAAGGGACATCCTGGAGGTGTGAAATTATTGCCTGACCTCTTCAGTAATATTTTAAATACAATTTTTTCCCCAGGAAACTTCAAATATAATTGCTGCTACCTTTTCAGAGAACTTTGGGGTTTTCTTAGTAAAAAATGCCTTGTGTTTAGAATTTCTACTTTTAGAAATAGGAAATGAATTATTGTATCTCTAAGATTTCCCCATGCATAATTATAAATAATGTGTACACACAAATACAGATACATATAGTACACAGTATATGACCTCCCAGCATCATTTTCAGACTGGCAAAGAGAAATATATTATTTTGAAAACAGCTGCTAAGTCAGGAACTTTAAAAATAAAGAGAGAGACTTTCCTGAATAAACAAAATTATAAAATGTGTTTTGATTAAAAGTTACCAAATACTCCCTGAGATGCACTTTCATGTCTCATAGAGATTTTTGTTTTCTGTTCCCAATAAAAATTCCACACCAATATTTCAAACTCTCCCAGTTGTGTTCATCCTCAGCATACAGATGTTTCTTATTCTTCAAACAGAAATTTGTATCTTTTTTTAAATCCCATAAATTCTTTGATATACCAGAATACTACGGATATTAACCTATTTTCCATTAGATATTGACATGAGTATCATAAAATCCTGGAATATCATCTTTATCAACTTCCTCTTCATTTAGATGAGGAAAATGAGCCTCAGGAAACTCCAGGGTATTTCCCTTAACTTTATAAAACCTTTGTGTACTTGATTGATTTAGTCAGTTTCATAAAAACAGTTTAAGAACAATTGGTCCCTGTCCTTAAAGAACTTAGACCATTTTGATGAGAGGTGAAAGAGAACACTTACATAATGAACATGTAACATCAGTAAGCATGGTAAGCAAGATGGCTAAGTGTAAGGCGTGTATTGTATGTATCCAGTGAATATTGCAACTATTATACAGTATCTGATGTATACTGCTAAATTTTTATTTTATAGTAACTATTTGATTTGAATTGAGTGGCCCAGTGAAAGTCCCCCTGTCCTTATTCGCCTGACTCAGAAGAGCATGCGACTCTTGATCGCATGTGAGTTCAAGCCGCATGTTGGGTATAGAGATTACTTAAAAATAAATAAATAAAAATAAAGTTCCCCTGTCTTTTTCTTGTTTTGAATATGCTGCCCATTTCATGGACTTCTTCCTTTCCCAGTCCTCTTTTATAATCATTATTCAAGTATTCCAGGCCACCCTCAGATCTTACTTCCATCTCAGAGTACTACCCAATGTACCAACTTATATTTTTCTCATTTGAAATGATTATCTATAAAATATGTTAGCATTATTTTACTTATACTGTTTTCTCTCATTTATCAAATAGTTGAGTTCTCTATTTTAACAGAATAGCAACCTATTCCTTAAGCAAATGTTAGGTTAAGACATTCAGTATGACAAGTTATTAAATGGAATGTTCTTGTTTTCTGGTTGTCCCAAGTATATCTTGTTTCTACTCCAGGATTGTTATTGAATGACAGGGCTCTCCGTGTCTTATATTTTACTTGTGTTAAAATGTGCTTAACTTCTTGTTGGGCACATTATCAGCACCCCAGTATTAAATTAAATTTTGAATTAAAATTGCTCATTTGTTATCAGTAAGAAGTTAAAATTATTCAGGCCAGGTGCTTACAGGGAAGTTTCTTCCTCTAAAAAAAAAATAAAGTAAAATTAATAATAATAATATACAATATATTATATTAATATTATATAATATATTATATTATTAATAATTATTATATAATATTATTATTATTCAGGCCTGATTAGATTCATACTGCTTTTGGCCAAACAATGTTTTAAAATATTCTAAGCCCTGTATAATGGAAACATATATTACAAAGTGAAATAATTACTTTACTTCCTGTGATACATTTTTAATTTTTAAAGGTTGTAGAAAATCCCTTTTAAAATGTTTTAAGGTTTAGACATTTTAATTTATAGAACACTTTTAACCTGATGATTTCCAGGAATTCTTTTTTTTTTTCGGTTGGTTGGTTTTGGGGTTTTTGTTTGTGTTTTTTTTTCTTTTTAGTTTATTTACTTAACGTCAAATTATTTAGTTAATGTACAGTGTCAGTAGAACCCAGTGATTCATCACTTACATAAAATACCCAGTGCTCATCCCAATAAGTGCCCAGGCAGTTTAGTTCTACTTTGCACTAACTTTGTTTTCTATATCACGGTCCCCCTTTAGAGATAAGTATTGAGAGCTAATTTCACAAATATTTATTGAGTATATGCGAAATGTCAAGTACTATACATCATAGAGCTAGGCATACAGAAATGAATAAAATAGACAAAAGTTCTACCCACAAAAAAACTTACATTCTATTTTTTGGAAACAAATAATAAACAGAAAAAATAATGATGCATAGAGTTTATTCTGATGACAAGCTCTGAGGATAAAAATAGAGCAGGTAGAAGATGAATAACTTCCGGAGATCTAATGCCCACATCGTGATTATAGTCATTAACACTGTATTATATACTTCAAAATTGCTAAGAGACTAGATCTTAAATGTTCTCACCACAAAAAAGAAATGTATCAAATATATCAAAACATTTTATACACCTTAAATGTACACAGTGTTATATGTAAATTGTATCCGAATTTTAACAAATAGAGCAGGGAAGGGAAATAGGGAGATTATCAAGGAAAGGGCATTGCAGTTTTAGATGGAGTCGCCAAGGAACCACTTATTTAGAGGTTGCAGTTGATTCTTTGAAGAGATGAAAAAGGAAGGTGTATTTTACGCAGAGGAAAAAATGCAAAAGCCCTGCAGGAGGAACCTGCCCAGCATAATTTCAAAATGGCAGAAAGGCCCTAGTGGCTGGAGTGGAGTGAGCAAGAGAGCAAGAGATAGGGCTGGAGAGATGAAAGGAAGCCAGACCGTGCAGGAACTTTGAGTGAGACAAAAAGCAATTAAAGGGTTCTGAACCGAAGAAAAACACAGTTTGCCCTATACGACCTAGTTTAATAGTAATAATTAGGCTGTTGAAGTACAAAAGCGGAAGCAAAACGCCAGGTAGGAGGATACTGCAATAATCTAGCCAAGGGATGATGGTGATTTGGACCAGAGAGATCGTGGTGGATGGTGTGAGAAGTGGTTGGAGTCTATATATTACTCAGGTGGTGCTGACAGGATTTGCTGATGGATTAGATATAGGGTGTGAGAAAAAAAAAAGAAGAGTTAAGGATGACACAAACCTGGTTGGCCTGAGAAACAAAAGACTGGAGTTGCATTTACCTTTCACAGGGGAGTTGCTACACAATTCAGGATTTCTGGTGCTCCCTACTCCATCTGTTGTAGCCATTTGGCTTCTGTTGAAAGGATAAAGTTAGTACTGGGAAGGAGACCCCCCACTCCCTTGCAGTAATAGCCTTTAGGCATTGAGAGAAAAGATCTCAAAAAACTGTCATTCTCGAGTTCTGTAGGGGAGATTCTCACTTGTTGCCCTGGATACCAGGTGGCTGGAATTATGCCACTGGTACATATGCATATCTGTAAGCTGGGCATTTGTAACTCTGGTGATAGTAGTAGTATTTCCTCTTGTTCAGTCAATAAAGCCTTAAATAGAAAATAAATTGATTTCCTTTTGAAAGAGAATTTAATATTCTAGAATCTAGGCCATCAAATACCTTTCCTGAATGATATACCAAAAGCTTTAAAAGCATAAACACTGCCAAAGGATGTAGCAAGCCTGTTACACAGGCTTAAGATTTTTTTTTTTAGTTTCATATTAGATGGGCCTTTTCATTTGGTGTCTATTTCACTAAAGGAATCAATAAATATATTTTAATGAATATGAACAATAAATACACTAGTAATATAAGATAGAATATCAAGTTCCCAATATTCAACATTATCTGCAGTGTTTGAAATGTTGATAATATGTCCTTACCATACCTACTATGTAGACATAGTAACTATGGGTATCGTTACTAGGTAAATATGTAACATTTTTTTCATTCTCCCTCCCTTACTAGAACTTTTAGTGGAGTTGCCTGGAAAGTATTTCTATCTGAAAAAGAAAGTTTAAGACAAGAAATAAGTGTACTTTTGAGCCCAGCACACTTCCATTGTACCTCTCTACTATCTAAAATTTATGAGCATTTTAAAATGTTATATAAACTGTATAGGAGTTTATGTTAATTAACAAAATGGAAAAATAACATTAAGAAAGCTAAAGCAGGGGCACCTGGGTGGCTCAGTCAATTGAGCGTCTAACTTTGGCTCAGTTCATGATCTCACAGTTTGTGAGTTCGAGCACAGCATCAGGGTCACTGCTGTCAGCCTGTCAGTGCAGAACCCGCTTCGGATCCTCTGTCCCCCTCCCCCTGCCCTTCCCCTGCTCATGCTCTCTCTCTCTCACTCAAAGAATAAATTTTAAAAAACAACAACAACATAGAAAGCTAAAGCGGTGCTCACTTGGGCAGCACATATACTAAAATTAGAACAATACGAGATTAGCATAGACCCTGCACAAGGATGGCACACAAATTTGTGAAGCGTTCCGTATTAGAGACAGAGAGAAAGCAAGCTGCTCTCAGTTTGTTTTTCTTAACTCCCAAGTTTCAGCATGCCATTGCTATTGTTTATTTGGTTGTTTTTACCCCGTAGTTTACAACTCTTGCATTTTTTTATAGAGAGAAGGCAAAGTAGAAGCAGGGATCATGACAGCCACAACATGGTTGAAAGAGGAGCCTCCAGTACACAAACAAGAAACGGTAAGGAATTTTTTCATCTGTAGCCTACCACTCCTAGAAAACATGTACTGGGACAGTATTAAGCTCTTTTTCTTCTTCTTTATTTTTCAATGTGTAAAGAAAAAAGTCTTTGAAAAACATCAAAGATACAAAGCTGAGGATGATTAGTAAAAATGATAATTTAGGTGAATTCGGGGCCCCTGGGTGGCTTAGTCAGTTAAGCATCTGACTTCAGCTCAGGTCATGATCTCGCAGCTTGTGAATTTCAGCCCAGGGCTCTCTGCTATCGGGGCGAGCCCACTTCAGATCCTCTGTCCCCCTCTCTCTGCCCCTCCCACATGAGCATGCATGTGCCCTCTCACTCTTACTCTCTCTCTCTCTGTTTTAAAAATAAATGAACATTAAAAATTTTTTAAAATAATTTAGGCTAATTTAACATTTCATATCATAAGAACACATTTGGGAACAATCACCAGTCATTTGCATCCAAACTGGAATTTTAAGTATACCAAACTGTAAATCCAAAATTAAATACACTGTATAGGTGACCAATCCAACCTAACTAAATTTTTCACTAAACAACAAATTAAATAGAAAAATAGTAATCAACTTGTGTTTAAGATTATTAAATCCAAACATCAAAATTATTCTCTAACAGATATTTTGTGTCCCTGATCTTGTGATCTTTCTGGTAGTTTGTCATCTCACACACTACAAAATCTATATTGTCATCATAAGGCCTCTTCAAAAGTAAAGAATGCACATGTAGGTTTTTTGATAATTTTGTTATTGTTGCTGGATTTTTCTTGCATTTAGGGATTTAAGTGTAAATTCATACCAGCTTAATGATTTGGAATACGGGTGACTATTTTTCTAACTTAGTAGAAATACATGAATATCAAATGCTAGCAGAGGTATTACTGGATTTATAAAAAGGAATAATTAATGGATAAAAGTTTCCCCAAATCATTACAAATATCCTTCAGCTTTAAGAAACTGAAGGATATATTCAGCTCCAGTTGATGTAAAAATAATAAATACTGGATTTAAATTTGTAGCAAATTTTACTTCAAAATATCTAAAATATTTTCTTTATTTCTGATGGTCAAGATTCTATCAGATTTTATTCTTATTTTTAATCTATTAGAACCATTTTCCAGTTATGAATTCTTTACTTTGTTAATGCCTGCAAATTTACCTTTTTCTTAAAGTGTGGTTGGAAGTATGTGCCGGACCATGGAAAGCAATGAAGTTGTGTACCTTCTCACTTTGGAGACCAGAATCAGTCCCTGAATCTTGGAAGCTGACTGCTCTTCTCTGTTTTCCTTATAGATAATTTGATTATATCATATTCTGTCTAAACTTTTATTTATTTTGGAAAGTTATTCAACTTGAAAAAAGAGTTTACCAGACTATAATATTAAATCCTTTTCACTTGTTTATTAAATGTTGTACTTTTAGAAAATACCAAATGGTATCTTAGTACATAAGTTATCTTCTGACCAAATTTCATTCCCTTGCAGTGTGACAGATTTGATATTATCTTGACATTTTCTAACGTTTCTGTGACTACTTCTTTTGTAGCCTAGAGACCCTGACTGTCAAGAACACAGAGGTCTGGAACAGCCTGCAGAGTTGCCCTCAGAAGAAGCGTGTAATCTCTGCAGTGATTTTAGTGATGATGAATCAGTGGGAAACTCAAGAATAAAGACTGCTAAACACAAAGCCTCTGACTCAAGCAAAGTGCCAGGTTCTCCCGGACAGCTTACCTTACTCCAGTGTGGTTTCTCTAAATTGTTTGAGACAAAATGTAATACAGTTGAGGAAAGTGATGGACATATTGCCTCCGATGGTGAAAGTTCTGATGAACAACAGCCCATATGTCTTTCAACAGAAGCCAAAGACATTAGATATCAGAAAAGCTGTAGCTCTCTTAGTATTTCAAAACATCAGAGATTAGCTAACTCCCTCAATCCAAATGAAAAACATATCTTTGATAAAAGTGAGAACATTTTAGAACAAAATATTTCTTCTGAGTCTGATGATGGGAACAATTTTAAAAGTAGAGCTGACCACCATTGCATTTTACAGAACGTCACAGAATCAGAAGATAGTGATGTCATCTTTCCCACACAGTATACAACTCAGAGATGCGACAAGAATGGTGTAAAGTTTAAGCCACTCATGGATGGATCTGAAGGTTCTGAAACAGAACATCCTGTAGAAATAAGAAATAATGGTGATGATAGAAAGACTGATGTCAAAGGAAATAAACTAATTTCAAAGCAATTAAATCCTGAGAATGTGACCCTGAAATCTATTATGAGAAGAAAAGGCAGTAGTGATATTAGTGACGAGTCTGATGACATTGAAATTTCCTCTGAGTCCAGAGCAAGAAAGCAAAGACCTACTAGTTCTTTGAGGTTTAAGAGAAAAAAGAAAGATAAAAAGGAACTTTACACTTGTCCTAAAACCATGAAGAAAACGAATCAACTGTATGCAGCAGATGGGGATTGTAGCCCTCAGGCTATCGATGATTTTTCATCCTCAGATGATGATTTAACTGTTCACCACATCAGTTTCTCTAAACAGAGCCATGCACCAAAAACTGTAAAAGATAGGATCGGTTTCTCTTCAAAATTACCTAACCACAAGAAAAATAGCACTTTGATACCAAAAAAATCAGTGAAATTTTCAAATGAGAGAGTTGTCAATCAAGAGCAAATGTATGAATCGATGGATAAATTTTTAGGTAACTATAGATACATTTTGGAAACTTTATGTTACATATTTATTTTGTGCAAATAGTTCTGTGAAGGATTCTTAAATTAGCTTGTAAAACAGCTCTGTAATCCAGATGCTACACCGAGGCGCAAATGAGGACATGGGTGGGTGGCAGGAGAAAGGGGAGACCACCTGGGTCAAGGTAGAGAACTTTGTCATCCACCCCAGGACTCCCCCCACGTGCCCCATCTGAATCACAGCCCATCCCCCCACCCCCAGACTTCCTTTAGTTTTGACCTCTAGGTAACTATTAATTTAATGCTCCTCTTCAGTCCTTCTGTCAGTGTCTCTCCTGTCCATTTGGTTGTCAGAAGCTTATTTTCTAGTAGCTCCCTCAGGAAGTGCTCGTGAGAATAACTTTCCCTGAGATTCCTGTTGATAACCCTTTGTGCCCTTTTATACTTAAAAGTCATTTTTGCCAGATATAAAATCATTGACTCACTCTTTTCTGAAATATTTTAAACATGAGGCTTCATTTTCTTTTGCCATGAAGTTTTGTATCACAGGTTCTTTTTCTTCCCCCTTGATGCCCAAAGAATTTTTTTTCTTTCTATTCTTGCCTAGTAAATTTATGACATTGTGTTTGAATGTTTAACTTAGTTCTACTTGCTAAAACAAACTACTACAGACCGGGGGCCTTAAACATTTATTTCTCATAGTTCTGGAGGCTGGAAGACCAAGCTCTGGATGCCAGCTTGGTCAGGTTCTCGGTGAGGGCCCTCATCCTGGTGTGTGGGAGCTGCTGCATCCCCGTGTAGTGGAGACAGAAATCGCCTCTCTTGTGTCTGTCTTTGCAGGGGCACTAGTCCCATTCATTAGGTCTCTGCCTTCATGACCTTATTATCTACCCAAGACATTCAGTCTGTAGCACTGTTTGTTATTCTGGGTCAGGGTTGTCGTAATGTAGTTTCAATTCGGTTTTCATTTCAGGAAAACTTTCTTGTCCTAGTATTTTTACTTACCTTTTCTATTCTTTTGCTTTGGCTGTTTTCTTCAGAGACTCCTGGTATTCAAATATTCAGTTTTCTTTGCCTGTTTTCAGTATTTGTCACGTTATCTCAAGTCCTTTCTCTCTCTTTTTTTTGTTTCTTTTTACTTCTTAAAAATACCCTTCCATTTCTCTTAAAGCAGTAGTTGTGTTAATTCCCTCTACGTTCCTTCTAGTTTAGTCTTCATTTCTGAATTTTGTTCAACTTCTAAATTTTTTCTGAATCCCGTCACCCATTTCTGAGTTATTCTAATTCTGACTTAATGTTGTTGGTTCCTGTAGCTTACCATTTTCTTAATGTCTTTTACCTTGTTTGGAAATCACAATTTTAATTTGCTTTGTGAGCACACATTTCTGGCATGTTTTCATTCTGCTACATACTCTTTTTTTCTCTCACAATAATTTTTATGATATTTGATCCTCTTGCTCATTTTTATAGAAACTATTTTCCCTGCATTTTTTAAGTGAGGCAGAGTTTAGGAAATTTTTTCCAATTTCACAAAGATCCATAACTGGTTTTTGGTGCAGTGCTCAAAACTGTGGTGGGATTTCCTGCCTCTGTCCCTGCCCTCTGCTCCGCTCTAAGCCTTCTCTTTTCCCCCATTTCCTACCCTGTCCATTTTGACTCTTGACCAGCAGTTATCTTCACTGTGAGGGCCGGACCTGGGAGCCCTGGTGGGTCAGTTTGGGGAGTTCCTAAAAGGGAGCTTGCTTCATTCTCTCAGGCCTTCTTTTCATAAGCCCCCTGTACCCATTCAGCTTTAAAGAATGGAAAACCTTCCCAGATTCAACTACTCATCTGTAAGTGGCTCACTGTGCTTGCCGGGGAACACCTGTTGGCTCTTCTAGGCTCTCCTGTCCTCAGATCCATCAGACACCACCCTGTTGCTTCCTTCACTCGCACCCTGATGCTGTGCACAGTGTAGCTATTGGTGGGTTGTCCCCATCTATTTGTATTTTAGGGCAAAAAATACAAATTCTTGTATTTTTAGGGAAGTTATCTTGTCATCTTAATTTGTATGTGTTGTCCATGGCCTTTTGTTTT